ATCTCGCGCGCGAGCTCGAGCCGCGAGAGCTTGGTCACGCCTGGGGGAAGGGGCGGGGAGGAGGAGGGGTGGGGAGGAGGAGGGGCGAGGGGAGGAGGAGGGGCGCCTCGGGCCGGGCCTGGGAGGGGGAGTGCAGTGGGCTATGGGGGCGGGGGGTGCTGCTGGTGTTGGTGTGAGGGAGAGAGGGCTGGGGCTGGGGCTGCTCCGCGCCGTCGACGAGCGCAGACACCTCGGGGCCGAATCGCTCGGTGACGAGCTCGAGAGTTGCGCGTGTGTCTTCGACGGTGTCGTGCAGGAGCCCCGTCATGATGGAGGGGAGGTCCGCCTCCGCCTTGGCGAGCATCGAGGCGACCTGCTCGCGAGGGAGGCGGCTCGAGACGGCGGGTGGCGAGGGAGGCGGGTGGCGAGGGAGGCGGCGGGCGAGGGAGGCGGCGGGAGGGAGGGAGAGGTAGAGGCGGGCGAGGGAGGAGGGAGGAGAGGAGGCGGCGGGAGGCAGGTCCGGGGGGGGGAGAGCGCTGCCGCTGCGCGCCTCGAGCGGATGCGTTACGTACGGCTCGCCCGAGGCGCGGTACTGGCGGCGGTGGTACCGGAGAGCAAAGACGAACGCATCCCACGCACGCCGCGCCGCCAAGGCTCCCTCATCCCCCGTCGCCGCGTTGACGAGCAGCTGCGCGAGCATCGCGCGGTACGCCGGAGGCAGCCGCCACGGTGCCGGTGCCTCGCCGGAGCGGAGCACGTCCAGCCGCGGCAGAAACCGCTCCGAAGCAGACCTCTGAACCCTCTGCCAAGACCGCTGCTGCTCCTCCTGTTCGGCCGTCAGTGACACAGCAGGCGCTCTCGCTCGCAGCATGCCGCCAGGGTGGCTGAGGCGTGGGTGGTACGCCACGGCGAAGAGAAGAGCGGCGTGGGCGCCGGTGCAGACCATTTGTGGCCTTCGAAGATGAACGCTTATCACAGCACGAATACGGACTGGCGCGGACTGGCACACACCACGAGAAAAAAGAAAAGCCCCCGCGTGGCTCTCCCTCGGCGGACCCCTTCCGACTCCCGAGACCCATCCGAAATGCCGCGCTGGCTCGCTTTGGCCTCGACTTCGACGACGGAGCCGCTCACGCGCGGGCGGCCCTCGCAGTGATTGCGGTCCACAGGAAGCTGGCGGCGGAGTTCCTCCAGGGGGATGCACGTCTCGCGCGCGCGTGAACAGGGCTCCACGACCCAAACGACGTGTGAGTGTTAGAGTTGTTTGGTATTGAAAATCTCTCTCTCTCTGAACAGCTCTCCGACTCAAACGTGATTTCTTGTTGGTCTTCAAAAAATCTCTCTCTCAGACTCAGGGAAACTCGCGAGTTTCCCGAGCGAGGCCCGAGGGAAACTCGAGAGAAACAGAATGGAGCACCAAACACCCTTCTGGTTTCCCTGGAAACTTCCGGAAACGCAAAGTGCTGGGGACCCTCTGGTTTCCCTCTGGGTTGCCGGAACCCCTTCTACAGGCCAACTTGTACAGGCCAGTATGGCGTTTTTTCTTTTTTGAAGAACCCCGGCCAGCACCGGGACCAGTCGAGAAGGGAGAGGCAGCAACGACAGTCAGAAGCCCGCGCGCTCACACACCAGAGCCGCCCCGCTCGTGAGTAACCGCTCATTACGCCGTCGGAGAAGGGAAACGTGAAGCGGGCGCGGAGACGCGGCAATTCCATGTCTGCTGACTTTGCGATCCTCTCCGAGTCCACGCTGCACGACCGCTACCTTCGGGTCGAGAGTCGGCTTGTGCGCTACCCGGACGGCCGAGAGGTTGCGTTTGACATCGTGGGTCACCCAAAGAACGAGCACCACTTCGTCGTCGTCTTTGTCTACTTTACCGCTCGCCGCTCGGCCGTGCTGCTCCGCGAGTTTGCCCAGGCTGCGCTGCCGCAGCGTGGCTCGCTCGCAAACCTGCCGACGGGGGGCTTCGATCCGCGCAAGCACGCGAGCCGCGCGGAAGCCGCACGCGCCGAGCTGTCCGAGGAGGCGCAGCTTCGCGGCGGCGAGTGGGTCTGCCTCCTTCCGCCCGACCACCCCGGCGTCCTCGAGGCAAAGTGGTGCCGCAACCGCTTCACTCCCTTCCTCTGCATCGACCCGGAGCCCGACCCGGCTCACGGCGCACTCGACGCCGAGGAGCACCTCACGGCGCAGGAGGTGCCGCTGCAGGCGGTCTTGTCGGCGATGCACGGCGGCGACATGCTGCTCCCCGCCGTCCACACTTGCAGCTGCGCCCTCGCCTGGCTCAGGCAGCACCGCAGGGTCGTCGACTCGCCGCTCGCGCCGCCAGGCGGCTGCGAAGGCGGCCGTGGGAGAGGCTTCACTGTGCGCCGCCTCTCCCGCGCCTCCGATGCCTCGCTCTACGGCCGCTGCCTCGGCTTGCGCGCGTCCCTCCTCTGGCCGCGCGAATCGCCGCCGCCGTCCGCTGCCGACTACGACACCGCTGACGGCGAGGCGACCTTCTTCGCGGCCGTGCGGTGCACGGGCCAGGGCGGGGAGGAGGAGGCGGAGCTCCTGGGCACCGCGATGCTGCACGACGGCAGGCTGCGGCAGGTGGTCGCAGTGCCCGCCGCGAGGGGGCAGGGCGTCGGCGCCGCGCTCGTCAGCGCGGCGGCGGAAGCCGCTCGCGCCGAGGGGCGCGACGAGCTCTCCGTGGGGGCTTGGGCGACCAGCGAGACCTTCTACTCGCGATGCGGCTTCGAGCCGGACAGCGAGCCGTACGAGTCCAACGGCATGAGCTGCCGCAGGCTGCGGCTGAGACTGGCGCAGGCTGGCGCGTGACGTCGAGGGCCGCAGAGTGCGAATTCTGCGAAAAAGAGTGTAGGTGCGGTACTGTCAGTGCATTCTTGTCGTTCGCGTAGTACGCGCGAAGCGCTTACTATTTTTTGCGTGGGCGACACGCGAACAAACGTCAGGGGCGGCGACGCCCCCCCCCCCATCTACAGATGATATTGTTATATGCGCATCCTAGATGCCAAACGCCATCTAGGATGCGTTTTCCATCTAAGGACACCGGGTGTCTCCACTATGATTGGGTTCTCCAAGAAGATTCAATCATCTTTAGATGGTGTGCCCCCGGGGGCGTCTTTTGATAGCCCGTGACATCTCAGATACTGCAGTCGTCTTCAGACGCACAAGCGTGCCGAGATGATACCCTCATCTTGGGTTAGTCCATGCATCCCAGGATGCAATGTGGCATCTGAGGATGCGCAATGCATCTCAGGAACATGAGCGCGTTGTCGGATTTTCCCCCCTATTTTTCGCCGATCGACAGTGTCGGAGTTTTTTGCCGAACCCGAACCCGAAATAAAAACCAGTCTTACATATACAACCGCAACCTTCCATAGTGTAGAAAAGTCAGCATTAGCACAAGGGCTAAGTTCCCCCCACTATCACTCACTGGCTCCCAGTTCCATCACCATCAGTAGTATTCCACAGACAACAGGGTAGTTAGTCACATCACACTTACATAGCCATACTAGAGCGGCCGCTCACTGCTCGGTACCCCCCCTGCACATCTAAAGCCATGGCCGACCCCCCCCCCAGCAGCAGCGCTCTGCTGCTGGGGGGGGCGGGACCCCCCCCCAGCAGCAGCGCTCTGCTGCTGGGGGGGTCCGGACCCCCCCCCCCCAGCAGTAGCGCTCTGCCTGTGGGGGGTGCTGGCATCTCTGTACAGACAGCAGCTGTAAGTAGCATGCGTTCCAGTGGCGATAATTTATGGTCGGCACCAAAATCAGTGGTCTCACCGGCGGGCCCTCCTACTGCCAACCGGGAGGTGCGGGGCACGCCAGCCTCTCTTCTACGCCTCTCGTGCATCGCGGCGCCTCTGCCTCAAGGAGGGAAGATACGGCTCTCGCAGCCCATCATACGCCGTGGCACAGCGGAGAGCACAGCCTGTACAAGATATTGTTCCCTATCTTCGCATGCTCGTCGTTGGTGATATCCGCGCGAGGTCATACGCCACAGGCCAGCAATCACTCGGTGATGAGACTACTGATTTGGCGCGACGCTCTGACACCGAGTGTTGCTCGACGCTGCGACACCGCCAAGTACCGCGTGCAGCGCTCAAGCTCGCGGAGTACACCTCTCGCTATCATCACGCTTCGCGGCGGTCGGGCTGCTTAATTTGTCGGAAGACACCCAGAGGGTGGGGCGGCGGCGAAGAGGCGGGAGAGCTGGGTTTCCGTGCGCTCTGCTGCTGGGGGAGTCGGGACCCCCCCCCCCGCAGCAGCGCTCTGCTGCTGGGGGGGTCAGACCCCCCCCCCTAGCAGCAGGGATGGAGCTTTAGATGTGCGGGGGGGGTACCGAGCAGTGAGCGGCCGCTCCTAGTAGCAGCTGAGATTAGCATAGATTCATAGTCTCCACTCCCACTTTGATCCAAGGGCTCACACGCCGCTCAAGTCTTTATAATTTAACTTGCATTTTAATGATTAAATGCCAAGCATCTTGGGATGCGAAGCATCTTCAGATGATTCGAGCATCCCAGGATGCTCCGGCAAGTTGAAAATACCATCTAGAGATGCTCGAGCATAGGCAAGACAGTGTGCAGTCCAAGTAGGGCGCATCTTAGATGCATATTATCTCAAGATGCGCACATATCATCTGTAGATGGGGGGGTCGCTGCCCCTGACGAAAGGTGGGGCGGAATCTCGCCGCGGTACACGCCGAAGGGACACCTCACGAGACACCTCAGAGAGTTACACAGAGATGGAGATTTGAGGTTTCCTAATCGTTTACAAGATATCCGCCCCGCCCGCCCGCCCGGCGCGGGGGCTGCCCCCCCCCCCGCCCCCCCCGGCCCGGGAGGGGCACATGTGTTCAGGCATCAGGCTTCAGGGCATCCATGAGCATCTGAACCCTGGTCTGGTGGTCTGACAGCCTGACAGCAAATCCCGGACAGCGCCTGACAGTGCCCGACAGCCTGACAGCCAGGGCTCAGATGAGCATGTTTTGTTCGCTTGCTTTTCGTTTCGCGGCCTGCACTCCAAGACCAAGTGCTCCAAGTGCCCTCCGGGTCTTCATCAGTAGAAGGACCGGAGGGCTACGAAGCCTTCACACTCCAAGGGGCTGGGACTCAGCCTAAAGTTAGATACTCGCCTGTGTTGAGAAGGGAGGGCGGAATAACCGACGCTCAAAATCTAACACACGTTTCATTATTTTGTATGTTGTCTCTATCTTTAGCGTGTTTGTTTGTTTGTGTGTCCTTCCGAATTCGCCCCCCCCCCCCACACTCTCCCGTTGTCCCCCCCCCCCCACGCGGACCTCAAAATGCCCCACAAAGAGGCTCACGGGACGTATCCTAAACTTGAGTGAGGCTTTTGGCACGACGGCGGTTCATCTTAGACAAAACTCACCCAAGTTTCCCCCCGTTCTCAACACGTTTCCGTATTTGGCCAACACGGCCACCTCATTTCGCAAATCATTTGCAGTTGCGTCGGAAGAAAAGTCGTGTAGGAAAAGACTTGAGGAGCGGGGTGTCCTCAGCAAGCGACAAGGTTCCATCTCGGACCAGACTGTGGAACTGCGCGCGCTGGCGCTGCCAGTTTAGGCAACCTGCAGCGACTGGTGGATCAGAGTGCTGCGCTGTGCGCACAGCGGCATGGTGTGCGTCGCTGGCGCCGCGTCGGAGGAGTCTCGGCTCTCCTTTTGCCGGACAGAGCTCGTTGTCGAGCATTCACCGGATGAAGAGGATGAGTGGGACTGGGACCTGCCTGCGCTGTCTCTGGAATACGATCCAACAGAGCAGCTGACAGGGGGTTCGCCGCCTACCGAGCGCCAGCTTGATATTTATTCCAGCGACCTGGCCCCGGGGCCGACGGCGTCGCAGATGGGCCAATCGCGATTCATGGCATCCCAGCCCAACAGAGGTTACATTTCGGTGGAACCCAATCCGGCGCGGACCTATCCAGGGCGCATACCGCAGCAGAAGCCCGTTGCCGAATACCCCACAACGCCTGTACGCCAAATGGGGCAGCACTCACTCGCACAGCAGCAATGGTCTCACAGCTTTGGAAACGGGCAGTCTTCTAGTCTTCACGCGGCGCACGGACGAGCGCAGCAGCAATCACACCTTCACCACCAGCAGCGGCAACATCAATATCACCAACACCAGCAGCAGCAGCAGCTACAGCGACAGCAGCACCAGTCGATGCAACACCAACACGCGCAGCACACGCAGCACAGTGTGCACGACCACCGTGTGTGTGTGTGTGTGTGTGTGTGTGTGTGTGTGTGTGTGTGTGTGTGTGTGTGTGTGTGTGTGTGTGTGTGTGTGGGCCTGTCTCTCTGTCTGTCTCTCTGTCTCTCTGTCTCTCTGTCTGTCAGTCAGAGAGAGATTTTAAGCAATTGTTTGTTTGTCAGTCAGTCAGTTAAAAACGCAGGGCAGACGACGGTGAGGCGGAGCAGTCGCGCAGGGCGAGACGAGGGAGGGAGGACGTTGCGGAGATCAGCAGGAGGATGTACGAAGAGATTAGGAGCAGCAGGGACCCGAGGGACCATGTGGAAGACGGCTAGTGCTAGTCCCCCATCGGGAGGACGACCCCGGCTAGTCGCCGACCACACCCACAAAGAACCCTGCACAAAGACCGCAGGGCGGGGACCTGTTCCTTTTTACCCATCTCCTAGTAGGGGTGTCCGTTTTATTTATTTATTTAGTGAGAGAGTTTGTTTGTGTTATTTAGTTAAAAAGAAAGAAAACAGACAACCCAAGGGAGGGATGTGTCAGTCTGTTACGCCAGATCGAGAAGGGAGTCGAATTCTTGCTTCGTGAATTCTTTGTCGGTTAGTGCCAGTGCGCGCCAGTCCCGTGTCCAGCGCCGTGCGAGCTTGGAGCACTTGGAGGGCTGTCAAAATTCTTATATCGCCGACCAGCCCGATTCGTTGGCGGTATCGCCGTGTTGCGCTCTGCCGGCGAGCTCTGCCGGCGAGCGATGCTACGCAGGGAAGAAAAGTCATACAGGAGAAATGCACTGCCCCTGGCTGGCACACAGCTACCTGGCTGCCCTAAGCTGTCGCTGCTGCTAGTATTGCTCGCCGTCGGCGCCACTGCGACGCGGCCTCGCTTACGCGTGCAGCAGCACCAGCGGCAGCGTTGTGAGGCGCCACTCTGCCAGTGGAAGCCTGATTTGCCGCCTCCCGACCCCGACACCGTGAGCGCTCGGAGTGCGGAGACGCAGGAGCGCCTCAAAGTGCTGATTGAGGAGCTCAGCGCGCCAGTGTCGGATCAAGGTGCAGCGCCCAAGCCTTCTGCAGGCTACGCGGTCGACTACGCGAACCTGAAGCCAAAGGCTAACGTATTTGGCGCGCGTCTCGATCCAAAAGTGGCGGGCGAGACGCTCATCGGCGTCAACGCGGCGCCTGAGGAGCCGCACGAGGAGATCTTCGCGGCGGGCGTCAAGGCGATGAAGGGCGGCTACTACAAGGATGCCGTGCGTTACTTCACCCAGGCGGTGGCGGCGGCGCCTGGAGGGCTCACGGGCCGCGAGGGCGGGCAGTACTCGGTCTGGCTCGCGCAGGCGCTGCAGGCCGCGGGGCGAACAAAGGAGGCTGTCGGTGCGCCACCCCTCCTGCGCCGCGCCTCCTCGCCCCTCCCTCCTCCCCGCCTCCCTCCTCCCCGCCTCCCTCCTGCCCGCCTCCCTCCTCCCCGGCCTCCCACCTCCCTCTCCGCCGCTCTCACCGCCCGCCGCCGCACGTCTCGGCAGGCCTGCTGCAGACCTGCGAGAGCCACCCGGACAGCGACGTGCGCAAGATCTCAGAGTCGGTGTTGTACGTCCTGCGCGCGCCAGAGCTCAAGCTCGGCGAGGAGAACTTTGTTCGCATCGACTTTGCCTCCGAGGGCCCCCCCTCCGAGTGGGGCCGCTGGAAGCCAAAGCCGAGGGACCCGGACGACGAGCCGCCAGAGATGTACTCGCTCGAGTGGCGCGCGACGAGATCTAGACGAGATCTAGACGAGATGTAGCGAGATGTAGCCGAGGTGTAGCCGAGGTGTAGCCGAGGTGTGGCCGAGATGTCGCCGAGATTTCTCTCGCTCGAGTAGCGCTCGACACGCGCCGACCCGCCGCCGCAGGTACGTAGAGGAGTTCGAGAAGAGGCAGGCGCTCGGCCAGCCTGCAGAGCGCGAGGGTGCGGCCGCGGAGACGGCGCTCGTCCTGCTGGGGGCGGTCGGCGTGCTCGCCGCCCTCTCGCTGGCGTTGTAGAGGGCTGTGGGGCTGTGGTAGCGGTGGAGAGCCGAGGGGGCGGAGGGCACAGCCACAGGGGCGCGAGAGGCACAGTCACACCGGGGCCGTCGTGTGCGGTGTGCGTCGCTACCCGCCGCCCATATCTGTAAAATCTCTTTCGTGTGCACATATTCGTTTGCGGCGTGAAATGCACGGCTTTAGACGTATCGTTACACGACACGTCCCAAGGCAGCCGACACGACCCTCGCTGTGGCCTCAAACTGTTCGAGCACGGTGTGCCTGTGTGCGTGCGGCTCCACTTCTCAGAGGTAGAGGCCCTCGGGCGCGCCGGTGTGCTTCTTGTACAGCACGTAGTCCTTCGCCTTTTTGAACTCAGCCTGCGACACCTTCATCCGCCGCTCGCGCAGCGCGAGCAGGCCCGCCTCGGTGCACATCGCCTTGATGTCGGCGCCGGAGAGCTCGTCTTTGGACATGACGAACTCCTCGAGGTTGACGTCGTCTGAGAGGCTCATTTTGGAGGTGTGGATCTGGAAGATGTGCCGGCGCGTCTTCTGGTCGGGGGCGGGGAACTCGATCTTGCGGTCGATGCGGCCGGGCCGGATCAGCGCCGGGTCGAGCGACTCGATCTTGTTGGTCGCCATGATAACCTTGACGTCGACGTGCGCGTCGAAGCCGTCCAGCTGGTTGAGCAGCTCGAGCATGGTGCGCTGGATCTCGCGCTCTCCGCCCGAGGTCGAGTCGTACCGCTTGGTGCCGACCGCGTCGATCTCGTCGATGAAGACGATGGTCGGCGCGTTCTCCTCCGCGACGCGAAAGAGCTCGCGCACCTGCGGACGGGTCGCGGACGGGTCGCGGACGGGTCGCGGACGGGTCGTGGCCGTGTCCTGCTCTGCTCTGCGCAGGAGGGGGCGGCGGACCAGCTTCGGGCCGTCGCCGAGGTACTTTTGGATGAGCTCCGAGCCGGTGACGCGCAGGAAGGTCGCCGAGGTCTGGTTTGCGACCGCCTTAGCGAGGAGCGTCTTACCGGTGCCGGGCTCTCCATACAGGATCACGCCCTTGGGAGGGCGGATGCCGATGTCCTCGTACAGCTCCGGGTGGGTGAGGGGCAGCTCGACCGCCTCCTTGATCTCCTGGATCTGCGTCTCGAGGCCGCCGATGTCGGCGTACGACTCGACCGGCGCCTTGTCCACCTGGCGGGGGAGGGACGAGGAGGGGTGGGGGGAGGGAAGAGGAGGGGGTGGGGGGAGGGGGGGCAAGACTGTGAGGTGCGGGCAGTGGCAGGGACGGGGGGGGGGGGGGGGCCCCCCTTCATCACGCTCCCCATCGGGTCCGCCTCGTCGGCGAGCAGGCCGACGATCGAGTTGACCTTGTTGTGGGTCAGGGTTAGGGTTAGAGTTAGGGTTAGGTTAGGGTTAGGGTCGGGGTCAGGGTTAGGGTCAGGGTCAGGGTCAGGGTCAGGGTTAGGGTTAGGGAGGGTTAGGGTTGACCTTGTTGTGGGTCAGCAGCGAGCAGCCGGGCTCGAGCTGGTCCTTGTCGACGAAGGAGAGGATGTTGACGTAGTACTCGGGGCCGATGGAGGAGGAGATGATGGCGTGGTTGTCGTCCACCTTCGAGGGCGGGGGACGAGTCTCTCACCGAGGCGCGGCCGGGAGGCGCGCAGGGAAGGGCCGCAAAAGGGCAGCGGCGGCGGCGGCGGCGGCGGCAGCAGCAGCAGCAGCAGCAGGGCCGCGCGCACCATCTCCTCGAGCGTCGCCACCCCGAGCGGCGTGCCGCGGATGTCCTCCACCTTTGTCCGCTCCTGCTGCGCCGACTCCTCCTGCGGCTTGACCTGCGGCGACACGAGAGCAACAGTGGCCGTCGCGAAGCGGGGCCGGCAGCGAAAACGGCAAGCGGCGACAAGGGGCCGGCGGCGGAGGCGGTCGCCCGCGGGCGCGTCGGTGCCGATCCGGCTGGCGGCAGTTACTGGCGGCGGGTGGCCGACCGCGCGCCTGCTCCTGCCGCGCGACGAACTCCTCTTCCATCAAGAGGTAATCCTTGACGCGCTCGAGCTTGAGCAGCCTCAGCTTGCACTTGGTCGCCGGCACCACGGTCGGCAACCTGCTGCTCGCTGCCGGACCCGCCTTCTTGCGCTTCTTGCGCCCCACGCGAGTCGGCGCAGGAGCCTCGTACTTCTTGGCCTTCTTGGCCTTCTCCTGCTGCGCGTCGTCGCCGGCGCCCTCGCCGCGGCTCTGCTGCCCGCCCATCGCGCCTGCCGCGAGACGGGTGGCTTGCTTGTGCGCCGAGATGAGCGCGAAGCAGGTAGCGGGCGCGGGGCAAAAACGCACCCGCAGCGAGGGTGCGGCTGGTGAGCGGTGTCTGGCGCCGGAGTGGGGCGGCGTGTGTCCGATTTCTTTTTGAGAGCGCCTTCGTTGTTAATAGTAGAAACCGATAAAATATTGAGAAAAGAAACGAGGCGGGATTTAGGGACATGTGTCCCCGCCCTGCACGATCTTGGTGTGAGGGATCTTCAATCCGTCCCCTCACCCCTGGTCACTACCCGACACTGGAAGAGCAGCAAGAGTTGGGGCTGCGGCTACGCCTACGGCTGCGGCTGCGGGGCTATGGTCGCGGGAGAGCCGCTGCGCCGCGTGGGCGCGCCTACACCGCGCTTGCTCCGCTCGCCACCTCTCGCAAAGGTCCAAAGCGTCACATAGCCATCACCTCTCCTCTCCGACAAGTCCTCGTTTCGCCTATCTCGCCGTCCCTCCATGCCTGGTAGAGCTCGTCGTCATAGCCATATTGCATCACAGCCTGCTGCACTGCGTCGTGCACAACTGATTTCTTGTAGTTAGGGTTACCAGACCAACGATTTCATTCAAGAGGGGCAAAGGCGGAGGAGTGACTCCGCCCTCATCAGACATCACCTTCTCCGCCGCCTCCCAGCGCGAGCGCCTGCTGCAGCGTCCCCATCTCTGCGACGATGGAGGCGGCGGCGCGCACCATTGGCAGCGCGAGCGCCGCCCCGCTGCCCTCGCCCAGCCGCAGGCCCATGCCCAGCGCCGGCGTGGCGCCGAGCGCCTCCGCGAGCACCTCGCCGCCGCGCACTGCCGACGGCTCCTCCTGCAGCGCGGTGGCGAAGAGCAAGTGCGAGCGGCACGAGGGGCGCATTCGCACGGCGCACAGCGCGGCGACGCCGCTGATGAAGCCGTCCACCACCGCCGCCACGCCCCGCTCCTCCGCCTCGAGAAATGCGCCCGTCATCGCCGCCAGCTCGAGGCCGCCCACGCGCCGCAGCGCCTCGCGCGCGCGCGAAGCGCCGCAGAGAGGGCCGGCGGAGCGGAGGGGCTCGCTGTGCGCCTCGCACGCCCGCGCCACCGTCTCCTCCTTGTGCCTCAGCCCGCCATCGTCCAGGCCCGTGCCTCGGCCGCAGCAGTCGGCCGGCGAGGCGCCAGTCAGACTCGCGAGCAGCGCCGCCGCCGCCGTCGTGTTGCCGATCCCAACCTCGCCCACCGCAACCACCCTCGCCTGCCGCGCCGACACCTCTCCCGCCACCGCCGATCGGCCAACCTCAATCGCACGCGAGAGCTCCGCCTCGTCCATTGCGGGAGCGGTGCGAAAGTCGGCGGTGCCGCAGGCCACCTTTTGGTGCAGCACGCTGATCGAATGGTTCGCGTCGGCCCGCTGATCGCTCACGTCGCCGTCGAGGCCGACGTCGACAACCGCCAGGTGCGCTCCGGCCGTTCTCGCCAGCACCGCTGTGGCGGATATGCCAGCACAGAGCGAGCGGAAGACGGCCTGCGACACGCTGGGCGGGAAGGGCGAAAGCGACTGGTCGGCCCTCTTGACGCCGTGGTCGCCGCAGAAGACGAGAACACTCTGCGGCTCGGCCACTGGCGCCAGCGTCTGCTGGACGGTGCACAGAACGGCAGCCCACTCCTCGAGGAGGCCGAGCGATCCCGCCGGCTTCGCCTTGGCGGCGAGGGCCTCGGTCGCGCGAGTGTGCCAGTCGGCCATCACGGCAGCGGGAGCGCGGTGGTGCTCCAGAGCGCGGTGGTGCAGAAGCGATGGAGCGCAGTCGCCTGGTACGCGCGCCGGGGGGCCGGCGAGAAAATAAAATATGCTTCCCCCCCTCATCCCTCCCTTGGGTTGTCTGTTACTGAACCAGTGGAAATTCAGTTGTCAGATGTCACGATGCATCCGAAGGGGACCCCAGCGCCGGCATCATCCGTAGAGGCACGAGTGTTCGAAGAGAGAGTGGACCTGAGCAACAACATGACTTGGAGGCAAATGATCGGAGTGGGAGTCAGAAATGTGGTCCTTGCGCGAGGGGAGCTCGATAGACTCGAGGGGCCAGGATACGCCGCAAGGAGGACGGAGTTGCGCCGAGAGGCGAAAGAAGCCGCGAGAACAAGGGACCGGCAGGCGGCGGCGTCGCAGGACGAGGCAGAAGAGAACGACGCGACAGAGGGGGAAGTGACAAGGGAGAGAACGACGAGAGTGGGACAGCCGCGAGGTGGCATGAAGGTTGCAGCGAGAAGCGGCGAGAGACTGCGAAAAGAGATACGAGGAGGCAGACCCCCCAGGGTGGGCGACGGCTAGCGCATCACGCCCTCCTCTCCTTAAAATCCCTGTGTGGTGGCGGCGTGCCGTTCTCCCATCCCTCCCTTGGGTTGTGTGTTTTCTTTCTTTCTTTCGGGTTGTCTGTTTTCTTTCTTTCTTTTTTCTTTTTCCCTCCGGGGGCCCCTCTGCGCCGGGGAGGCGTTGTTGGAGAGAACTACGACCTGGGTCGGTCTCATACTAGCACCCCACGTCGCGAGCTTTTTTCGTACTGGGCTAATCGACCCCTGTTAAGTGACTCGTTCGCTTACCACCCACTGTGATTTTGTGTGAGCTCTGTGTCTTCCTTTGCCAACAACGTACGTACACGGGAGAGAAGAAGAGGGATCTGTGGCAAATCAGAGAGACTGGAGGCACATGGGGGACGGACGTCATTCGGTCCGACGGGCGTCGTCGCCACCCGCCCCCGCTTATGGTGAACTTCTTCCGTCGCGGCCTGCTGGCCACCAAGAAGAAGGCGCGGGGGTCGCCAAAGGCAACTACCTCGAGGTTCTACTACTTCCCAGACAGCGCGAAGGGCAAGCTGATCGGTCGCGGCGGCGGCACGATCAAGGGCCTCTCGGCAACCTATTCAGTGACGATTGACACGGACCAGTCGGGCGTAATCGAGGTCGCTGGCGTCGAGGAGAAGATTGAGGAGTGCCGCGTCGCCATCGAGGACCTGATGAAGATGCGGGTCAGCGGCGACACGCCGTGCCGAGTCACGTTTGACCTCCAGAAGGAGCGAGACGAATCATTTCTGGGAAAGCTGCGGGCAAACCGATACAGGAGTGCCGCCCTCACCTCCTGCCCAGAAGCATCGCGGGCGCTTCCACAGGCCGGCTCCCGCTCGACCTCCCACAGGATTACAAACAAGGTTGAGCAGGAGTGCCTGCTGTTGGACCTCGAAGTCCCCGGCAGCGACAACAAGTTCTCGCACGTCACCGCCGTTGGAGCTGTCGAAGACTGCCTCAAGGCGTGCGACATGCTCGCGTCAGAGCTGGAGCTGGGAACGCTTGCGTACACGACGACGGGCGCCGGGGTTGGAGAGGCGGGCTACTCGACGCCGCCCCAGTTTGACCTCTTGACCTCGCGAGCGATAGCCAAGGCGCTCTTCTTCCCGGGCCGCGACGAGGAACCTGGCCCGTACCACCCCGACGCGGACCCGGGCGAAGAAAAGAGCCTGAGCACCCTGGCGGTCGCCCTCAAGTACCTCGACTCAGCCAACAAGAGCATCGACGTCGCGGTCTTCAACATCACCGAGGACCGGCTGACGCAGCGGCTGCTCGACGCGCACCGCCACCGCGGCGTCCGTGTCCGCGTCATCACCGACGACGAGCAGGCAAAGCAGACGGGCTCGGATGCGGCGAGACTTCGCGAGGCTGGTGTTCCGCTGGAGATGGACGCGGACTTCCGATATCACATGCACCATAAGTTTGCCTGCTTGGACGGCGCAGTGCTGCTCAACGGCAGCTTCAACTGGACGAGACAGGCGAGCGAGCACAACAACGAGAACCTAGTCATAACCAACGACTCGAGCCTCGTTGCCGCTTTCCACTCGCAGTTTGAGACGCTTTGGAAGGGATTCGAGGGCACAGGAGACGCGCAAGCCCCTGCCACCCCGCCGCCAGCCAATGCTCCGGCGCCGTCACAGGAGGAGGATACGGTGTTCACAGCATGCCCAAAATGCGGCGGTCCGATCTACGACAACCGAGAGGCCAACCAGGGACGAAAGAACCCGTGGCCGTCATTCAAGTGCAAGGACACTCGGGGCTGCCAGTGGTGCGAGTGGTGAGAGGAGTGTGGCTTAAAATGATACTCCGCCACACGTGAAAATTATTTTATGGTGTACCTGGGGTTAGTGCCAGTGCGCGCCAGTCCCGTGCCCAGTAAAAGAAAGAAAGAAAACAGACAACCAAAGGGAGGGATGGGAGGACGGCACGCCGCCACCACACAGGGATTTTAAGGAGAGGGGTGTGATGCTAGCCGTCGCCCACCCTAACCCTTGGCGCTTGGGCGTCTCCCTCTTTCTATCTCGCCAGTCCGCGCCCTTGTCGTGCCAGTGTGCTGTGAGAGAGGCTTGTCGATTTTAAGAATTCTATCTCTCTTCGCAGTCTCTCGCCGATTCTCGCTGCAACCTTCATGCCACCTCGCGGTCGCCCCACTCTCGTCGTTCTCCCTCCTGTCGCTTCATCCTCTGTCGCGTCGCTCTCCTCTACCTCGTCCTGCTGCGCCGCCGGTGCCCAGTATCCCGAGGATAAAATTCTTTAGACGTGCCAGCCGCGCTCGCATATCTGCTCGCGACCCGACGCGCAGCTCGTGGCACACATGATCCACCTCTCGCTAGTCGCCCTCCTCTCCAGCCCGCCAGTGTGCTTCACCGCGCACGAAAAGACGACGCTGTTCTGCGAGGTGCCGCCCTCGGCCGACGGACCGGTGACGGTGTTCGACGACAGCGCTGTGGGCACACGCACACTGCACTGGCGCGCGGGCAGCGGCAAGCTTTGCACCTCGAAGTGGTGCAGCTCGTGCATCCAGCGCGGAGCGGACGCGCGCGCCGGTAGCTGCCGCTCTGCCACCGCCAGCGGCTGGACGTTGGCCCAGTCGCGCTCCAACTCGCTCCTCCGCAAGCCCGCGGCGCTGTTGCTGGGAGGCGCCGTCCTCTCGCTGCCGGTGATGGCGCTGCTGCTGTCGATGCCGGCAGCAGCGCCGAGCGTTGCGGTGGCCCGCTACTTCGCCCAGCTCGAGGCCGTCCGCGCCACCCCGACCCTCGCGCAAGGTCCGGTGCTGCGCGCCGCCGTGGCGCTGCTGCAGTTTGCAGGCGCCTGGTGGTTCCCGCTCGTGGCTGCGCTGGGCACGGCGGTCAACCTCTTCACGCTCGTCCTCACCGCAGCGACGGTCGTCCTCTACCTCGCCGCAGTGCTCGGTCGTCCCTCTCGCTGGGTGTCGACTGCCCTCGCCAACGCCGTCGGCGCCGCCGCCGGCTCCTACGCGCTGCTGCTGCTGCTGCGCTCGCACGGGGAGAGCCTGTTGGCGGACCGGTTCGGCGCGGTGCTAGCCAACCCGTCGTTCGACAAGCTCATGTCGGCGATGCAGGCGCACGGCGCGGCGGGCATGCTCGGCGTCTCTTGCTTGCCGCTCATCCTCCACCCCGTGGTCCTCTTCGGGTACGTCTCCGGGAGAAGCGACGCCGAGGCGAGGGGGCTGCCTCCTAGACGCTTCCTAGACACTTCCTAGACACTTCCTAGACGCTGAGGCGAGGAGGCTGCCTCCTCGCAGCCGCGCCCCGGTGCGAGTGTCGCGAGGCCGCGAGGCTTGCCGAGCAGGTGATCGGCCTCATCCTCGCCGGACACTTCCTAGACACTTCCTAGACACTTCCGAGCAGGTGATCGGCCTCATCCTCGCCGGACACTTCCTAGACACTTCCTAGACACTTCCGAGCAGGTGATCGGCCTCATCCTCGCCGGACGCACCATCAAGTACCTCCTGATGGCCTGGCTGACCAAGAACGCGCCCGGCGCTCTCCGCTTCTTCGGCATCAAGGGCGAAGCCCAAGCCCCGCCGCCTCCGCCCCCTCCCCCGCCCGCCCTCCTCTGCCTCCGACACACTCCCCTCTCCCTCGGCCACCGGACAGGCGCGCTCTTTGACTTGGCGGCGAAGGCGAAGGCGGCGTGAGCATTACCGTCGCCGCCGACGGCCTCGGCTGGGCGGAGGCATCGGCCAGCGGGCGCTGAAGGGCTGCCATCGAGAGCACTCGACTACGCGAAGGGGATGGCATATGCTGACCTGGTAGCATATGCTACGGACGGGAGGTGTTGGTAAGAGAGAGCAGACATAGGCATGCACAGGCGGTACCAGGGTGCGGTGTCGCAAGGAGTACTGTGGCGGTATCGTAAGCGTGGAGGCGTCAGCGAGGCGAACCGCGGCTCAGCGAATCAGCGCGGCTTCGGCCTTCGCCTGCCCGCCTGCTGCCCGTTAGCCGTTTGGCGCTGCCGCTGGCCCGTGGCCGCCGCGTGCGCCGCCCGGCCGAGGACGTGCCGTTGCAGGTCGACATCCGCGACACCGTCCCTTCGCCGCTTCGCGCTTGGTTCGTCCCGCTTTGACGACCTTTAATGTGATTTTGTAAAGGGGAAGGACCCTCAGAGTTGACCAGGGGTTGTGCACCAGGCCCTCCTGCTCGGCTCCAGCGAGTAGACAAGTCTTGTCATCTCACATCTGGGATAACAGAACACAGAGCTGTAGATGGATCTGACCTCGGGGCCGATGTGACCAAGCGCTGGTAGCGTGGTTTTACCTCACACCCATGGTCTCACAGTGTGCCGGCAGTCACCGAGCAGTGTCGCTCACACAAGCCGCAGCACAAGTGACTGAGGGCCAATGAGGGCGAGCCCATCGCTGTGACAGCTGTGGCAGCCGCACAGTAGGGGCTGTGCCAACTGTGCAGAGCGTGTGAGCAGCAGAGGAGCTGCTCTCCAGGCTTCTGACTTCTGTCGCAAAGTCCAAAGAGCTGCATGCCACCGAAGGCGCTGTCGAGGTTCGCCGAGTGCGACACAGATTGGGGGAAGCCGCCACCGACGAGCGCAGAGCGCGCTGGTCAGACTCCGCTATGACGGCGGCACGCACACGAGCCGCGGGGTCGAGGGTCGTGCCGCCGACGCGCCGTAATACCTATTAGCGGCGAGGCGCGGTGGACCGTCTGGTGGCGTCTGGCGAACTGGCGAAGTGCTGTGCGTGTGCGGTCTGTTTGACTGTGGCTAGTTCCATTTCACTCTGACACGCTAATCTTGAAAACGTCCAACGGAGCTCCGTGTTGCTCCCAGCGCCCTCCCCCGCGCTTCCTGCGGCCCTAGCCGATGGTACTAGCATGGGAGGTCATCTGGCTACCGCGAGAGCGACCCAACTCGTCGACATCGTCCGATGATGGTGCCTCAAAGTCAGCCTCCGGAGGCTATCGTGGGGTCGAGCCGGCAGTAGCCGTGACATGTGGTTCCACCACCCCTCGTAGTCTTTGCCTCTGACCGCCACCGTTCCCAGGCTGCCTAATGGGATGGAAAGGAAGGCTCGGCGAGCGTATAGATGCGTGCTCGACCTCGTCGTGGCAACCTGCACGGCAGCGCTGGCAGGCGCGATGAGCGTCGTGCCACCTGACCCGAGACGGGTCGCAGGCGTCGTACCGAGCGCGTCGAAACCGTGTCCTGATGTGATCTGCACGGGTGAGTCACGTCGGCGTCAAAGGAGCGACGTGCGACCTGTCAGAGCTTGATCTCCGATCTCAGCGGCGTCGAGTCATCTCCGGCGCGCGACAAAGGTACATACCCAGGACGCGCAGAGGCAGCTGCGACCCAGCGGAGTGGACGGTAACGCACCGCGCCACCTGCTGTGCGTTACCGTCCACTCGGCGGGGTCGCAGCTGCCTCTGGAAGGCACCGAGATGTACCTTTTTCGCGCAATGGTCAAAATCAAGGTTTTGTAACGCGAGCTGTGCCACAGTGAAATGGAACTAGCCTGTGTGGGTCTCTCGGGTCCCCCGCGATTTTTCCGTCAAGCGTCAAAACCGTCATCCGTCAACTCACGGTCCTTCCCCCGTATGTGGTATGTGAATGTCTCCCGCGAATCAAACCTTTGTGCAAGCTCGCGCCTCTCTCTTATCCCTTATCCGGAGCACCGCACATGGGACCGCACTGTCCACTGGGACGTGAGCACGCTGGTGCGCACACAACGGGGGGGGGGGTCTGGCCTGGCAAGAGGAAGAGCGGCAGTGAGAGCCCCCAGCCCGCACACATGGACGCGCGCCGCGGTGTGTGCCCCATGACCGGCGCCACGTCGGGCACGTCCCCAACACGTCTAGTCTCAAGAGACGATGCCCCTCGGCTGACATCGCACATGTCTACAACATGTCCCACGCATCTCCCCATCTGCTGCGAATCACCCAGCACTGCACCTCTTTCCACACGTCGCTCGTCGTCCCCCCTGGCACGCGTCCGATCAGCGGCACGCTCGGCGAGCCAACTCCTTGCCTCGCTTACGGCGGCGTGCCGCGTGCGAGCGCCTCGATGTACCCGGACCCGTCCGGCGAGACGAGGACCTTTGCCTTCCTCGCCGACGACCCGCCGGAGCGGCGCGAGCGCCGGACTGGCGTCGCTGCGAGGGAACCGTCCGCGTTGAGGGCGATGCCTGCGCGCGGGACAGCGCACGAGGGGGAGAGTGAGAGGGCCTCGGAGGCGCGGCCTCGGCGGCAAGGCGAAGCGCGCGCCGTCGTCGCCCATTGTGAGGCGGACACGCTGCTCGCTGCCGTAGCTGTCCGCTGCCGCCGAGCCGTCCACCTCGCCGCGCAGCCGCGAGCCTGTGGGACACGTCTGGGAGGTGTCATGGACATGTCATGGACGCGTCCGCCTCGCCGCGCTGCCGCGAACCGCGGGCGGCGCGCTGTGCGGCGGCGGCGCCGGCGCCGCGGCGGACGCCTCGGAGGAACCTTGCGAG